GTCCGTGCCTGGCGTCAGCTCATGGCACTGGTGTACATATGTGTGGATGCAGTTATTTCTCATCCAGGGGAAGGACACGGATACCGGTGTCTGTATACATGACCCCGACATATAAGTATCAGGAGATCCGGGATTCGGGTCTGTTTTTTCCAGTCCCAGTATTTATGAACTGTGTGCGATCAGGGCCGTCTTTAATACAGGGCAAAAGGGGCAGTTGCCCGGGGCCCAGTCATTGATGTGGGGCCCAAAGCAGCTGCCCCTTGAGCCCACAAAAGATACACACGTGTCACCGTTCTGTTTACTATGCAATCTGCATTGTGTAGTGTTGCTCGGCCCCTGCCGTAAGCCGCATAGCGCAACGTCTCACGCAGGGTCATGTCTCCCTCTAAGGTTTCCTACTATCTGCTCTTTTGGAGAGCGAAAGTGCATGGTGGGAGGGGGGAGGGGGGCCCAAGAAAATGTTTGCCCGGGGTCCAATTAATGTTAAAGACGGCCCTGTGTGCGATGAGTGTACACGGGGTAGGTGCAGGGCTGGATCGCCATCACCGATACTCCTCTGTGCCTAATGGTAATCCGTTGCTGGGTTGGGGAATGGTTCATGTGAAGCGCAATAAACACAAACTTGGCTACATTGTAACAATAAAAATGATTGTCCATGATGAGAAATGTGGCCGTGTCTCTTTCTCAGCATCTGAGCAGAACTGCATCCTATTAGCGTGCCTGACGCACACCTTGTACTGGCTGGATAGGGCCCCCGCCATTCCTATAGATGCATGGAGTGCTCCGCCATATCTACTCCCAGTTCTGAAACTCAAGCTGAACAACCAAGGAACAGAGTCCTAAGAATACCATCTAATGACTGCCATATACCATACTGAGTCAGACAGAATGTCAGCGTGTCCCGCCATCTATAGAATATATCATTCCCTCATCTGCCTGGGTTCTATGCATGCTTTTATTCTATATACTGTATATGTCTGTCTCTAATGCACCTTAAAGTAGAGAAATATGGGAGCTACCATTGCAGGGCAGTCATCCTCCTCTCACTGACTAGGAACAAGCAGGCAAGACTGGAGCTTAGATTGTTTGCCTTCACTTGCTGCATGCTTGTGCCTTGTCAGTGATTTGCTAAGTGAAGCCAGGATGAGGATGATTCGTAAGCAACCCAGCAATGGAAGCTCCGGACCAGTTCATTGACTGACATCACACAGACCGTGATTAATCCCATAGCATCCGTCAGTCCTTCTCCAATATTGCAGACCCAGCAGACACTAGTCAATAGTACTAGGTCTTATTATCGGGGTAGGTCTTATTTTCAGGGGAACAGGGTACATAAAGGGTGTATGCCTTGGAAAGGAATTTCAAGCGCTATCGTCCTCGTAGATATAGAAAGTCCAACCATGGAGGGGAGCAGAGGGACGCAGGGTGCGGTGGAGATCATTTAACAACATTGCACCTTATGCGGAACGTTGCACCTTGATGCACTGAGGATTGAAATGTGGACTATGTGTCAATAGAAGAGCACTATGTGTACACTGTAAGGCTGTTTTATCATGGAGCTAAATGGTTTTAATTTTATAATTAATTGTCATGATTAATGTGTAGGAGGTCAGTACAGTATTTTGCTGTCTTTTTTTTTCTGGAAATTAAATACTCTGAAGTAGATTTTTTTAAATAAAAGCCAATCGTTGTCCCTCCGGTTCAAAGTGCAGCCTACCACAAAAGCTTAAAGGAGAACTATGAGGTGAATGCAAATCACTCACCCTCATAGTTCAGGGCGACGTGTGACAATGAAACTGTTACAGGTCGGCTCAATAGATCGGGAAGTGAGCGAACACATACCGTCGCTTGCTCACTTCTCGATCATCTCGCTGCAGAGATCGGTGACTGTCACTCACGGCTCCCCGCAGGGATTCCTCCCATGTCCGATCCTCCAGCGCTGACTGGCGGAACGGACGGGGAGGGGGCGGGCACAGCTGGTTCTGCCTCTAGATAGGCAGAGCCAGCTGTCAATCACGCAGCCGGGTGGATCTCGACAGTATTGTCGGGATCCGTCCCGGCTGCGGCGGTCTCCATATATTAAAACTGGAACAGAAAGAATCTGGAGCAGATGCTCATAGCAACCAATCGGCTTCTCTCTTCAGTTTGATTAGTTAAAGGAGAACTATGAGGGGGGAGGGGGGGATGCTTTTCACTCGGCCTCATAGTTCTAGCCGACCTGTGACAATGAGACTGTCACAGGTCGGCTCAGTAGATCGAGAGGTGAGCGAACATATACCGGGGTTCTCTCACCTCTCGATCCTGTCACGTCTCTCTGCCGTGACAGGGGAGGGGCTGGATTCCCCCCTCCCCGCTCCGATCCGCCAGCGCTAACTGGCAGAACGGACGGGGGAGGGGGCGAGTACAGCTGGCTCTGCCTCTAGATAGGAGGAGCCAGCTGTCACTCACGCAGCTGGGCGGATCCCGATGTCGGGATCGGCTGCGGCGTCTCAGTATACCGCGAGCTGTAGTTCGCGGTATACTGAGCCTAGGGTGACGGGAGGACGCTAGTTTGTGTCCTCCCGTTACCCTAAGGAGAACTATGAGGAAAAGCCCTGACCCCCATAGTTCTCCTTTAAGCTTTGAAAATTATACAGTAGAAGCTGATTGGTTGCTATGAGCAACTGCTCCTTATTCTGTCTGCTCCGGTTTTGATGAATTCCCCGCAATGTCTGCTGTGTGTGGCGTATTACTTCAATTGGAATCTGAGAAATGTAATTTTTTTTGGGTTCTCCCAAGATAAAAGTGGATGTGATTATTCGAAGGAGGTCTGAAATCAATTGTGGAAATATTACATTTCCTGTGCGCAGCATATTACTTTTATTGTAATCTTAGCAAAAAATAAACTTTCAATTGATTTTGTTGCTCAAATGCTAAATTTGGCTTTGACAATGAGACCCATCAGGAGTGGTGGAAGTGATACCATCGCAGTGTGCACAATGCTCCTTCCTAATGTTACAAATACTCTCTTTGTGTATATTTGGACACAATCTATTCCTTTCATGTTTTTTCTGTGTCATATCTGCACTTGTAGGATATAAGACCGCAAGCTGTGTGTCCCTTTCAAAATGTGTCCCACTCCAACTGATTCCATGCTGAGTCTACAATATGTCTGACTTTTGTCTCTGACACACGGTATTTGGTTTTATTTCCTGTGCCTCGTCTCTCCCGTTCTTCGACTGCTGCGTACTGGAATAATGTACGGCGTGTTGACTCCGACATCATCTACTATCATTTTTATTCATGCAGCCTAATAAAAAGGCTTACATGATGTGCGGCGTGCCTTTTTGTTATTTTCTGCTTCTTGCCCTTGTCCCTGGGAATTGTACTAATTCTGTAGCACCGTATATAGCTTAAAGGCATCGCTGAAGCATGTACAGTAAACTCCCCATTATCCAGCACTCTCAAGCAACCAGCATATGTCCTACAGGACATATGTCCTCAATTTTGTTGTTGTTGTTGCCGGTTGCTTAATTGACATGGGCAGGGGTGTTCCGAGGCCGGGTGTCACCTGGAGTGGAGACTGGGTGACACTCCGCTGTGACGTCATTGCGCATGCGCGGCTATCTTGGTGATGGACGCCGGTAAAGAGAGAGGAGGGGACGTTCAACCGGCGGGATGAGGTATGCCGCCGAGTCCCCTCCTCTCCTGAAACTGTCAGGCTCTCGGTCCAGGCTCTCAGTCCAGAGGGCGTGACACCAAAATGACTGTCAGTCATTTTGGTGTCACCCTTCCAAAGGTGTCACCCGGGTGTGGGCCGCACCCCGCTTGTGACGCCACTGGACATGGGGACACTTAAAACTTTAATTAGCAACTACATTTATTTAGTTGCTAATGAAATTCTTCCCTTTCATCTTGCTGGCGTCTAGATTCCACGGTCAGTATCAAGATGTGAACAATGGGGAGCAATATTGGGGCCTGCTATTGGCTATTTCAAATTGCAGTAGCCAATAGCAGGCAGGCTATTGCACCCGCACACTAAGCAGAGGTGCGGACCTGAGAAAGAACTTTCTCTCTTAGGTTCACTCCTCTGCTCAGTGGGCAGGTTGAATAGCCAGCTTGCTATTGGCTACTGCAATTTGAAATAGCCAATAGCAGTCTGGCTAGTGCTCCCGTCCGCTGCCAGCTGTCTACATTCACCTACTGGCTGCGGAATCTAGTCGGCAGATGCATGCGGCTGTGGAGGGGAGGG